CATGTTTAACCAATCCATTTTTTAAATCTGTTTGGAATTAATTTCTTATATTCGTTGGTCCTGGTGGATTCAAAAGATTTTGCAGTTTTTACTGGAAGATTGCTATATATTTAATATATTATCAAATCAGATGGATTCAAATAGGAAGGATTCAATATTTTCAGAAATGGCATGAGCTGATTGGACAATATGGACTGGTGTCATGTGCATCCGAAATAACAAATGGAACGAAATTTGGATCCATTTGTAATCCAAATCCAAATGATCAAATTAATTTGAAAAATGAATTAATTCCCCCATGGGCCTGAACTTCTATTGCATCATGTGATGTCATCCAAATGAAACAAATGCATTTTTTAATTTCAAGATAACTTTTTTGGATTCATTGACATTCATATACATCCGAATCTCTGAAAATGACATTTTCGTCTGAAAAACAAATCAAAATGAAACGCACATGTCTAACCATCACCAGCTATTATTTCCATGAAAGTTAGTGATTAAAAAATAGACTTTACAAGTTATTATATTAAAGCTTACAAGATATTTTAGTGATTTACATCTGCTTTATGTTTGAGTTCTTTGAGTTGGAGCGCTGAGGTACATTTTGCATGTGCCCTTTTTGTGTGCTCTGATATGTTCAACCAAAAATCCTTTTAAGGAGCAATATCTGTGCACGGCAACTGATTGATAGCTAGCTCTGCAATTCCCAACACTTTTTTTTATTAATCAGGGTCTTTTTCTCTTTTTTTCCAAATGAAAACTTTTAGCTTGGAGTGATTAGAGTGTCTCAGACAGTTGTTGCTGACAGTTCATTCAAGACTTGATGTTTCTTCATAGCACCTCACTGCTTACCTTAAAAAAAAAAACAAAAAACACTGTATACCCAAAACATTGCACACCATCGCCCAAGGTGTGCCACAACCCCCTGCCATATCTCAATATATCCGGAAACTGTTTTTTTCTTTTCTTAGCTATGTGTACTTAAAATAAATGTATTGATTTTATTAGTAACATTCACGTTGGGTATTTGGTAGTCTTCTGTAATTGAGGTCTGATTCCTTTTATTCATTCAGCTTCTCAGTCATATATCCCCTGTGCAAGTGCATATTGGACCAGCAAGTGGTACATTCTTGACACCCAGTACCACCTGTATTTGTTTGTTTGTAACTATTTTAGTTACAGCCTTGCCATTCCTGCCTGTGTTTTCTCATAGCAAAGATGGCATTACAAATACATAAATAAATAACAAAATAAATGAAAAAAATGTAAAAAAAAACTACATCAGTAAATAATAGTTAAAATTAAAAAAGTCATGGCAGGTGGAAAAATGTTAATGTGGGGTATGCCCAGGCCATGAACAAGAGGAAGTGGGTCTTTTTTACAAAGCTGGTATGGAATCAGTTGAAGTGCTAAGCTGATATACAGGCTCTGGCTTTTTAGGGGGCTTGGGGCCTTTTTTTTCCATAATATTTTTTATTAAGGAAATATACATACTTGGGGCCTTTTTTTCCTTGCATGGTATGGTTGTTACTGGAAGCAGTGGAGTGGGTTGGCAATTGCTGCTTTCAATTTGAAGTCTTTGCCCAGGGGAAGGGCAGGCAGCCTATGGATGTAGGTTTGTATGCTTAATTTTTGCTGCTGTCTGCCCTTACCCTCTTGTCCCTGGAGAAAGACTCACAGAAAAAGGCTAATGATGACCAAGAGGGATTGAAATGAGTTTTCCACCAATTGCAGTCACCCCACAAATGCTAATTGGGTTCTACTTCCCAGTTGCCATTATTTTTACCCAGTTTTCAAGCTGTCACTGCCAATTTATGCTTGGCCAGGGCAGGTATGGATGTACAGGAGAAAAAAAATTAAAAAGCATTAAAAAAAGAAATTAAAAATTGTAATGGCAGCTAGAAATACACTCACAGGCCACTTTATTAGGTACACCTGTTCAATTGCTTGGTAACACAAGTTGCTAATCAGCCAACTGCAGGGCAGCAACGCAGTGCATTTAGGCATCTAGATGCTGTTTAGACAAAGAATTAGGGCAGTTCAGAAGGCAAAAGGGGGTCCAATTCAGTACTAGGAAGGTGTACCTAATAAAGTGGCCGGTGAGTGTATGTTAATGTTAGACTGCCCAAGCCACAGTCTGGAGGAAGGGGGCTGCATTCAACACTACCTTAACATGTGTGATTTAGAAAGGCACCAACATTCACCACACATAACCCCAGCTTCCTAGACCCTCTCCTTATGCCATAAGCACATAGAAAGAAAAGGTAGATGAGATAGTGGTAAAGGATGAAGGGGAGGAGGAATAGATGGAGGAGGAGGTGAAGGAAGGTGGCTGTTTTCATTAGTTCTTTTTGTGATATAGGGCAATATTTACATATCTAAATTGGCATGTGCCTGAATAAAATTGTAAATTGTTTATTGCAAAAATGTAAAAAGGTTACATAAACATCACAAAAATAGAATATAATTATATAAAGAGTACTCAACCATCACCAGCCCTCAGATAACGTTGTCTACCACTACCTCATTCACTCAACAAACACAACATACATAGGTGTCCGTTTATGAACCAGCAGTAATAGATCGCTGCTCAGTTCTCCGGCATTCTCGGAGAACACAGTTCTCCTGTGAATGCAGTTTATGAAGCAGTTCTCCAAACGAAGGGAGAACGGTCTCCAAACGCTGGAGAACGGTCTACAAACTCTGAAAAAACGGCTCATTTTACTATAATCTCGCGAGATTACAGTAAAAGATCAGTTTACTAAACAGAGGTAAATTATCTCTGCTTAGTTTTCGGTCCCTCCGATTCTCCAGCTCTGGGCTGGAGAATCTGGAGGGAGAACACAGATCTCCAGAGAAGGGCTGACCTGATCTCCTGAGTGTCATAAACTGTGAATGACCAGAGAATAGCTGAGATCTGTTGAATCACAGCTATTCTCTGTGTCATAAACGGACACCATAGTGGCCACTATGAGATGAATAGATAAGGATATGAATCCTCACAAACCCATCTATCCCTTAATGAAACTCAGGGAGGATATAAATACTGGTCTATGTAAAGTTCCTACCCACTATACTGTGGATTTGAGATGTAAGGAGGTACAGAAATTATGGGCAGTCCAGATAAATAATATACCAGTTTCTATTGTATACGAACTTGGTCCTGCATAAAGGAACCAGTTCAAATTGTATATTGTGGCTAGCAGATATAAACACTATCCATCCATTAATTGGGTATAGGTTGCAAGACTAGAAATCGATGTCTGTGATATACATCTACAGCGGAAGGAAATCTGACATATAGGTAATGTGCAATCACCTTGATGTTCAATAATACAGTTCTAATATAGGTACGCAGCCACCTTATTAACATCGGCAATACATGTTACTCCCACTGCTGCATTAGTACAGTCCAGCCCTTATATGCTTACTCAGCAATGGCCATCCATGCACACTGTGCTCAGTTTTAAATATCACAGCATATATACAGGGTTACATTGTTGGTGAGTGTGTAGGAGCGATCTCACCTGTTGGCATCTTCTGATGTCTCAATATCTGTATGTTACCTGTGGATTTTATGTATCAAAGTCGACGACCTGCTGCCAGATATATACCGCTGCTCCAAAGAGGCCGCATGTGCTGTCACTGACGCCGTGACGTCACAACATCAGTGACAGCACATGTGGCCCCTTGTCACTCATGGGAGCTGGATTTGAAACTTTTCAGATGAAGGAGGACTTATTGAACACCATAAGGTCTATATGATGGCAAGCTCGGGATATATACAGCCATATAGTACAGGAAGACCTCTGTGGAGCAGCGGTATACATCTGGGAACAGGTCGGACTGTGATACATAAAATCCACTGGTGGTGGGTCTGTACTGGGGTGTTAGGTAGGGAAATGGGTCTGTACTGGGGGGGGGGCTAAGATGGTAGGGGGGTCTGTAATAGGGACAGGAGCCCTGCACTGCACTCTATGCAGTACACACTCCTGAGCAATGCACTATTTACATTTTGATGCTTTTTATTTTAGATTTTTATGATGATATATGCTTTTTATTATCATATTGGAATATTGTATTGCGTTATTAAACACAAGTGTGATTAACCCTTTGCATTTTTTCAAGGTGGTTTTGAGGCCTAGGACTTCCCGTTTGCTTAGAAGAGTTTTCTGCAGAGCTCTGTGGACCAGCCCTGGGGATAACAGTGGTTTGTAATTCTATCAGCTCTTCCCAGTATGTTTTCAGGGGGTATAGTGGGATTAGAAGGTAAAGGGTGCATTAAAAGTAAATGAAGACATCTGGCTGCTCTGCACCTGGGAGGAGTAAGATGAGAACGGAATTGTTAGCCATGTTACTACCTCTTACTATGCGATAAGCCACTGGTGGGGTGGAAAAACTCTTTGTCAACCACTACACTACCTCCTGCATAACGATTGTATGAAGTTGAGTGATCTAGCTTAAAGAGGAGCTCCACCCAAAAGGAAAAGTTCCACTTTAAGCCTTTTTCCACTGCTTCCCATTAACCACTTGCCCTCCAGAGGATTTACCCCCCTTCCTGACCAGGCCAATTTTTGCGATACGGTGCTGCATTACTTTAACTGACAATTGTGTGGTCATGAAACGCTGTACATAAATGAAATTTATGTCCTTTTTTCTCCACAAATAGAGCTTTCTTTTGGTGGAATTTGATTACCTGCACATTTTTTATTTTTTTTTGCACTATAAACAAAAAATCCTGACAATTTGGAAAAAAAACTTTATATTTTTGACTTTTTGTTCTAAAACATATCCAGTAAAAAAAATTGTAAAAATCAAATTACCTCATAAATTTAGGGCAAAATGTATTCTGCTACATATTTTTTCTAAAAAAAATCCCAATGCATGTAAATTAATTGGTTTACGTGAAAGTAAGTAATTGTAGCATCTACAAATGGCTGTATATATACTGGAATTTAAAAAAAAAAAAATTTTATACTAGTAATGGCGACGATCTTGTAGCAGGACTGCGGAGGGCATTCTGACACTGGGTGGGAACTGACTAACTGCCACTGACATCTCAATGACACGAATACAGTGATCAGTGCTAATAAAAAGCACTGGCACTGTTCTAATGGCACTGGACAGGAAGGGGTTAACATCTGGGGCGATCAAAGGGTTAACTGTGTGCTGTTTTACTGTGTGTGTGCTGTGTGTGCTTTACTAGGGAAAAATACTGTGTATTTCTCTGCAGTGCAGATCAATACAAAGCAGCATGCTGGTGTTGACAGGGGAGAGATCTGTATTGTTTACACACAGGTGTCTCCCCTGTCAGTGATACTCGGCAATCGCCAGGTGCCAGCGGGGAATCTCTGGCACCCAGCGATCAACATGTGTAGTTGCGCAGGTAGAGCCCCCCCCTACCCAGAAATGCAGAATCAAATATATATACATGATTTTGCACAGCAGTAGTTCTGCTATAGGGTGGTTGGGAAGCTGTTAAGGATTGGCACCTTTGGGGAACAGGGGTGGAGGTGGTACCCGAATTTGACAGGTAGCCGCTGCCACTTTCCACTGTGATCCCCTATTCACCATTCACTTTCACCATTCAGTTCAGGGCTGTTATCAAGTTGAAATGAATCAGATTGGGGTTCTGCTATTTACAAAAAACTAAACAGTAACTTCACTTTTGTTGAACAAACAACAATCTCCTCTTGGTGATCAATGTACATTGCAAGTTTTTTTTAACAAACTTTCTGCCTGTTTCTGCTTTGAAAACATAACTGTTTGACCATGGCCTGTGCAGACTGATACAGAATGGATATCATTATAATCACCTGGAGCACGCTTAGTATTTTTATGAGAAATGTTGTAGTGTCTGCTATGCTTTAGCAGTAGCTAAAGCGATGGAGACACTGCAACGTAGGGAGTAAGTTGCTTAGGGAGTATCTCACCAAAAATGACATTTCTGTTGCAGAGGATGTCTAAAATCAGATTTTTATCTTAGTGTCAACTTTTAGGAAAATTACTGAGCCAATCACACGAGCAGGAAATGACATTTACAGTATGGCTTGTGCAGCAATTGTATATGCTATAATATTTTTTATATTCTATATTTTATCGTGAGAGTGGAGTTACCTTTTAAGTAAAGCTGAACAAAAAAGCTAAAAATGAAATTAATTACATTTAAAACTTGTAATGCCAAAATATAGTGTTGCAGATGGTGTGCCTGAAAATTGTACTGTTCCATAACACCACATACAACCTAAAGGCATGTAAGTTTAAGGGCTAGTGGTTTTCCCATGTTGCCCTTGAAGTTATTAAAAAGACCCTCTCCCTGCTGTATTATATTTTAAAAAAAATTGTCTTTGTTAAATGTCCCCTCTGGCAGTGCCCAGCTACCCATGCCCTTTTTTGACAATCTCTTGCAAATTGACAGAACTTATTATTATCTATCTATCCTTGCCCTCTATAGACTTTAATGGGGTTCGTTGATAAGTTCAGGTTCCACGGATTTTGAGCAGGATTCAACAACCCCTTCCCCCATGAATCAAACCCAGGCATATTAGCTCACCCACAGATAAGACAAGGACTCTGGATTTCCAGCAAGATCAATGGGTATTTTCTTTACATGCCAAAAATGTTGTTAGGACTGGTAAGTTGCAATACATTAAAATTTGTATTCTTGGGTTTAGATATCCTTTAATATGCTGAATGCTATCATTACATGTATTAATCACATACAAGTGTCAATTATAGCATTTTTCATGATACCAGTATTCTATGTACACTGGAAATATTAACTCACACGCCTAAAATTGTATCTTTAACCAAAACTTTTATAATTTGGAAAGAATGTAGAGGAGCTAGAAGCCCTCATAAGATAAGAAATCATCAGCACGCAAGTAAATATTTTCAATGGTTTATTATGAACACTATAATGTCACATGTAGCTAGTTGCCAAATTTTCAGGGTCATATAGGGTCCCTTCCTCAAGGCAACTCAGTGACAAGGAATGGCTGCAAAACGTTGGCAACCTGACCTATATGACATAAAAATATTTAGACAAAAACTATGGAAATGGATCCACTGGAGTGCTTGTGACGTCTTATCTTATGATTTGGATTTTACGTGGTGCAAACTATTATGGTCACCCCAAGCAACCTCTGATTACATTGGTCCAACACTGTATGAAGCTTGCCACTTAAAACTAGACATATCAAGGCTTCCATTACTGTCTGTGCACCCATCCTGTCTGTTTGTTTTGATGGCCACTGTCCCCAGGACAGTAAACTATAGGAAATCCACAATTGTCAATGGAGTATGAGATAAGGAGGGATATTCCAATAGGGACTGCTATTTTGATGACAACTAAGAAGAGATTTTCCTTGTTTTGAAATATTTCCACCCACCTAGGTCTCCAGGGCAGGAAGTGAAAGGAAATCTTAGCTAAAAAATGTTATGGTGTTGGAGACATCTAAGATTCTTCATGTTTTCTGACTTTCTGAAAATGACTGATGGTGTTTAGCTAAATTTTTAGGAAGAAGAAAAGCCCATACCATATGAATCATGTTTCAGTATTGTCTAAATGTACAAACCATCATGTTTTGTGCATAAACAATTGTTTATAAGCACATAAAATAGAGAGTACTATTAGCACAAAAATGGATACTACAACATGTAGGCATGTGCAGTCCATATTCTCCACTGTAGGTGGTGCTTGACCCGAGCGGTACCACAGCCTGGAGAGGAAGTCAGAAGAAACCTGGTTTCTCTATGGTTTCCTTGTCCCTGAAGATGGCGTTCCGATTGGCTAAGCTGCATCCAAGCAATCCCTGGTGGCCATCTTGAGTCAGCAGAGGCTTTATAAGTCCCTGCCCCTGGGTTTTTGCATGCTTTCACGTAGTCGTTAGAGTAGGGAAAGAGCACCCATCTGTGAGGGAAAATATTAGCAGCAGGGAAAGATAGCTGACGAGCAGGGACAGGCTAAGGACACACAATCCTGCTATGGAAGCCTTCCCTTCGGGACCGGACTGTCCATGCCGCATTCCACCCTCTGAAGATAGACGCTGTAGGTGCATCTTTACCATCTGAATCTCTGCATTGAACAGATGGTAAAGATGTAGAACTGTGAATTATACCTGAAGCAACGCTTTCTGCTGCTGGGGTTGTTTGTAGTTGAGCATACTCTGCAATACAAGTTTTGAGTTATCTGCAACCGGACACATAACACTTTGAGGGAACATTTACTGCTGTTTTTTTTTCTTTTGTTATTATGGTCAGAACTAAAAAAAAAAAAAGTATCTTTTTTTTTTGTTTGCTCGGTAGGAAATATAGTGTATGCATATTTGTATTTGCATATTTTCAGCCAGAAAATGTAGATTCCGGTATTTACTGTGTACCTTATTTATTTTTCTAAAAAAGCCAGTTTTTACAGAAGTCAAGCTGAAATAGCTCAAGCTGAAGCCACCCAAGCATCCCAATTTTCATATCACCCTAAAGTCTTTGCTCTTAACTTTAACACTCAACCTACCCCCTGACACCATACCCCCAATTTTCTGAAATTATAAAGTGGGATACCTTTTAGCATGCAGTATGAAGACAGAGGACATGTCCCTGCCATGGTCCCAGTTACATGAACCACAAAGATCTAATATTCAGAGAATTATTGGCAAAATCACTCAAAAGTGTTTTTGACCTCTATTTTTCTTTTATATTGGCTTTTTAAAGTAAAAAATGCAATAATATAGAGGTTGCATCAAAATCAACAATTAATAATACAATTTGTATAGAGATGTACTTGTCAAACCAAAAAAGATGACAACTGAGGTTGCACAAGGGACATTGGGATTTGGTCTTAAAAGAGGGTCAGTCCCTCCAAATGAGGAACAGTTTGGAACTATACCTAACACTAACCCCTAACTTGACTCTGAAAATTAACTTTTAACCCTTGATCTAACCTAACACCTAAGCTTTAAACTAACCCTTAAAATAAGCCCCAAATACCTACCTTAAAGTTATTGTAAACTTCAGACATGAATATGAACAAAGCATACATTTCTATAGTATGTACCTGTCTCAATCCAAAGCACTGAGTGTCATTTCTCTCTGTTGCATCCTTCCTTTGCTATATGCATGAGTCACTTCTGACCAGGGTGGATAAAAATCAATGATTTTATAAAAAAATCAAAAAAAAATCAGATTTTTTTTATTTAAATCGATTTTTTTTATTTAAATCGTATTGTTTTGATTTAAATCGGATTTTTTTTATTTAAATCGGATTTTTTTAAATAAAATGCTTTTTGAGGAAAATATATTACCATCCAAAGGTTATTCCATCATGAAATAAAGATTAGTTTTTTAATTATGTAGAATAAGGCTGTATATGTTTAATTTTTTTGGTAAATAAATTCCATTTAATCCATTCACAATGTCATGCTCTTCCAGAGGTTTTTGTAAGATTATCGGGCAGTTTCTCTGCCTACAAGATATTATCACAGATGTTTGGTTTACTTTTGCAGTTCTCAAAACTGAATTTGACTCAGCGGAGATCACATGCCTCTTCTTCACAGCAAAAATGTTATAACATGAACAGAGTTAAGAAAAAGACCTTAATCCTAACTTCTACAAACCTATGAATACAGAATCAACCCCTTCAGTGCTAAATTTCAAGAAGTTCAGTGAATAGAATAGAAACAATATTTTTCTGATTGTTTGGAGTGGAATAGATCTGCACAAGAAGAAAGTGAAACTATGTGTGAGGAGGAAGGGGCTGACAGTCTAAGTTTCTTAAAATATATATATTTTGTTTAGCCAAATTAGTTAACAAACATGGATGTTTGTTTAAGCAAATAACATATGCTGGAATGTTATTGTTTCAGTTGAATAAATCTATTTAAATTGTTAATATTAAGGTAATGATTATTTTTCTCCTTCCTAAGTACAACAGAAAAGTTGTCCAAATATGAATGATTAACCTATTAAACTGGGGATAAAAAAAACTAATATGAAAAGTTGTTATTCTAAAAATCTTCATCTACTTGCATATTAAAGTTATACCAGCAAGAATTAGTCTTTATGTAGAAAACTAGGATTTAAATCAAGCCTTACTGACTAGTGATTTAAATTGTGATTTAAATCGTGATTTAAATCAGTTTGATTTAAATCAAATCTACCCTGCTTCTGACAGATATTTATGACACCATAAGAATAAATGGTGACAGGGGAGGGATCTCCAGCACACAGCTTGTGATTGACAGCCTCAACTCTGTTCTTGTGTGCTGTGTGAAGGTAGGGGGGTCCCTTTCCTCCAGTCAGCTCTCACTGAGATATGCAGAGTGTAACTTCAGCTCCCCGCACTCTGCTTTCTAAAAGCTCAGACAAGCTGTATAAATTCTGAATTTTCAATGGATGGAGAAGAGAAGGCTGTAGATAAACAGATACAACGTATGTAGGAGGATTTGTTTCATTTCTTTGTATCACCTGAGAATAGTCACTTCACTGGGTATATGTGAGGATTTACAAACAATTTAACTCTAACAATCAACCATGAACAGTTAATCTAAACCAAACCCTTATCACTCCCCACAGCCTTAAATAAGAATTTCAGTTATGGATATTTTATACATAGCTTGGACCCATGGTTTAGCTTGGACCGATGTAACTGTGTATATGTAATACCTGGCTAATCCCCCTGGAAATCACTCAAGTATACATTGCTACACCACTTGTTTCCAGGTTCCGTGCTGAACAGCTGCCCTGCTGCCTTCTGAACACAGTTGGGCACCGGCACCAATCTGACAATTTTGACAATTTTCTGACTGCAAAGTTTTCTGTGATTGGACGAGGTGCAGAGGAGGGGTATTAATGTCTAGCTCTCTACCTTGTCCAACCAGAGAACACTTTGCATTTATTCAGAAAATGCAAAACATTCTCTGAATGGCACCCATGCCAAATGACCAGCCTCCTTTATTCAGAATGCTGTAGGGCAGCTACTCAGCAAAGGACCCAGAAGCAAGTGGAGATCACTGGAGTGGTTGCATCTATTTCAGTGATTTTCAGCTTCCACGGCATCAGCCAGGTATGGTAAATACTGTACATAGTTACATTAATCCAGGCTGGACTAATGTAATTATGTCTAAAATATTCATACCTGGAATTCTTCTTTAACCCTTAATCTAAACCTTTTATAGTGAATCCCTACCCCAACCGTAAACCTAACTCTAATCCTTATAAAACCTAAAAAATGAAACTATGATCTGAACTACCAGGCTTAGACTTTTTTGGCTGATAATTAAAAAAAATAAACAAAAAGAACACCATACATATTTGTGAAGAGCTGAGTACAACAGGGATATTTGGGAGCTCTGGAGCAAGACTGCTTTATTGGACTCTGTTCACAGAAGTTCAAACATCCAAATCACCATCCACTAGGGGGCAATAAAGACGTGCCAGAACAATGAACTCTCACCTTTTTCAAGTCAGCAGAGAGTTCCTTAGTATTCATAGTTTTCAACAATTACAAAAAAGTTTTCATGGACACTGCACTGTCCAGGCATCGAATCTCAGGCAATCTAACATGAAAAAAAAAAACCCCACAAAGGACCTCAGACCACTATACTGCTCACTACATCATAAATCGTAGTTTGACATATTAAAAATCCAGATCTTTTTGCCAACAAAACACATTACTAGATTTTTCCTAAAAAAGAGTGCAAATTCTTAAGTGTAGTATCAACTAATTAACTAAACAGAATACATCTTGCAACAGAGTGGATTTTAATTAACAGCACATGCGAATTAGATTGGCATTTATAGAAAAAGGACTATATTTCAGGGATTGAAGGCATCTGTAAAATTGATGTACCCATATACAATAGTTGCATATGAAGTGCATACCTTGAAGACCCATCCAAAAGGAAAGGAATGTGACTGAAGAGTAAAAGACAACTAGTTTGCTGTTCCTCCCTCAAAACTCTGCTGTATAGAGACTGGGAGAGGCTGATGCCAAGTCAAATGCTAGTACTCACACTGTTTGCATTTAAAAAATTAAAACTAATGATGTGTCAGTGGGTACAGAGCAGGGGTGGACTGACCATTTGGAAACTCGGGCACTGCCCGAGGGCCCGGGGTCAGTAGGGGGCCCCCTGATATGCCCCTGGTACCTTTTTCATAGGCTTTTTTGAGTTTGGGCAAGGACACAGGGGCCCCATGATCCCCTATTGCCCGGGGGCCCCATGAGTTGTGTGTCCGCCCCTGGTACAGAGCTACATTAATCTGAATCTTTTTTATCTGCTCACAGTTCAGCTTTAAACTCAAGCAACTTAGTTAATACAAAGGACGCAAACATTATTCTGCAATGCATCTAAAGCATCCAAATTAGACCATGTGTTAGAATTAGGGCCCAGGAACATATCAGCCCATTACTCTCTGACTATATCATGATTTATGCAGTCAGAAATACCTTTTGGGAAATAATTCTACATACATACACCAATCAGCCATTACTTTATGACCACTGACAGGTTACATATATAACATTGTATCTCGTTACAATGGCACCTGAAAGTTGGTGGGATATATTATTCAGTGAACATGTTGTCCACATTGTCCATGAAGCTGATGTGTTGAAAACAGAAAAATGTATGTGCCATTGATAGCCCCTGCGTGGGTGTACTTTTTGCCCTGTTGGCGTTGGAGCACTGTCTTTCTCTTTTTTTTTTTATTCTTTTTTGCATTTTTTTTATCTGTGCAATTGATAGCCCCTGCGTAGGCGTGTTTTATTGCCTCTGTTTTATACTGTTTAAAAAATTAATAAAAACCATTGAAATAGAAAACAGAAAAATGGGCATTGCAGTTTGTTGCATATGGTTCTGCATTGCTACACACCAGTCAGGTTGTTCACACTAACCCCTGTCCACAGCAAAAAGCTCCTACAGAGGTCATGTGAGCATCAGAACTGAACCACAGAGCACAAAAAAAAGGTGGCCTGGTCTGACTAATCACATTTTCTTTTACATCATGTGGATAGCCGTGTGCGTGTGCATCATTTTCCTGGAGAAGAGATGACACCAGGATGTAATATAGGAAGAAGGCAAGTCATCAGAGGCAGCTTGATGCTTTAGGCAATGTTCTGCTGGGGAACCTTGGTCCTGCCACTCATGTGGTTGTTACTTGACACATACCACCTACCTAAACATTGTTGCTAACCAAATACACTTGTTCATGAAAACGGTAATTCCTCATGTCAGTGGTCTCTTTCAGCAGGATAATGCACCCTACAAAAAATGGTTTAAGACTGGTTTGAGGGCCACAACAGGTTCAAGGTGTTGACTTGGCCTCCAAACTCTCCAGATCTAAATCAAACTGAGCATCTGTGGGATGTGCCGGAAAAAACAAGTCCAATCCATGGAGGCCCCACCTTGCAAATTAGAGGACGTACTGTAAAGGATGTGCTACTGATAGCTTGGGGCCAGATACCACAGCATACCTTCAGAGGTCTAGTGGTGTCCATTCCATGATTGGTCAGGGGTATTTTGGCATCAAAAAGGGATGAGCTGAACACACCAGGGTCAATTCAGGAAGGTTTGAGAGAAACATACCAAAAGTTCAGATGCCAAATCCAATCCCTTTGAAGTCAATGGAAGCTGAATGTGTCAAATCAATTTTCTTTATTTTAAGGCTAATAGCCAAGGGATTGATAAATAAGTGTATGGGGAACTGAGCACTGCCCCAAGGAGATATGTACCAATTCAAAAAATGGTTTTAAACAATACCGTTTTGCATGGAGCAGTAAATTTAATAATGCTTAAAGCGCAACATTAAAAAATTCACTGTTCCTTTAAAAAACCTGCTTTGGGAGGTTCCCTAAACCTGACTGCGAAGTGGTTCATCTGTACTATGTAACCAAAACTGTAAAGCAAAGGTGGTATTTACAAAGGAAAAAGCCCCTTAAAATGCAGCAAATTTACATTTCCCTAGAAGCTTCATTTTTCTGTAAATAATGCAAAGGGGACCAGACCACCCCCCCCCCCCAAAATACATTCAAGACCCTCATTAAGGTGAGGGGTGTTCATTTCATTATTTACAAAAAAAAGGAAGCTTGCAGGGAACTTTCTATACATGTAAAAAGAAAAAAGACATGGGGTCCCCTCAAAATCTTTATCATGCCCTTCGAATTGGAAATCAAGACCCCCAATGAAAATAAGGAATGCGCAGCTGCCGCCGCCCCTCCCCCTCCCCCAACCTCACCTGGGAACATGGCCTTCACATGGGGGAAGGGTGAGAAATAAAGCCTCTTTCCCACAGTCCTGGCTTGGAGCTTGTGACCAGGCCATTTTTTGCTTTACGGTGCTGCATTATTGTAACTGACAATTGCACAGTCATGCAACGCTGCACCCATATGTAATTTACAGCCTTTTTTTCCCACAAATAGAGTTTTCTTTCGGTGGTGTTTGATCACCTCTGTGGTTTTTATTTTTTGCGCTATAGAAAAAAAAGCGACAATTTTGAAAAAAAAAACCCTATATTTTTTACTTTTTGCTATTAACCATGTCCAGTAAAAAAATTTAAAAAATCAAATTTCGTCATAAATTTAGGCCAAAATGTATTCTGCTACATGTGTTTGCTTAAAATCCCAATACATGTAAATTAAGTGGTTTACATCAAAGTTCTAGCATTTACAAATGGCGGTATATATACTGGAATCTTTATTTATTTATTTTTACAAGTAATGGTGGTGATCAGCGACTTATAGCAGGATTGCGGCAGGCATTCTAACACTGGGGGAAACTGACTTGGTGTCACTGACATCCCCAGTGACACCAATACGATGATCAGTGCTAATAAAAAGCACTGACACTGTACTAATGGCACTGGGGAAGAAGGGGCTAACATGTGGGGCAATCAAAGGGTTAACTGTGCTGTGTGCTGTTTTACTATGTTGGCTGTGTGTGTGTTTCACTGTAAGCACACTGCTTTGTAGGGCTCTGCTGTGCAGAGCCCTACAGATCAGTGTGCAGGAACTGACAAGGGAGAGATCTGTATTGTTTACATACAGGTCTCTCCCCCATCGGAAATCCTTGGAGATCTCTGGGTGCCGGTGGGGAATCACTGGCCGGGACCCGGTGATTTACAGCTGAGGCCTTGAATGGCGGTGCGGGTTGTGCAGTGCAGTGTAGCGGGTAGTCCCGAAAATGCAAAATCACACACACACACATATATATATATTATTATTATTATTATACAGGATTTATATAGCGCCAGCAGTTTGTTCAGCTCTTCACAGTATAAAGGGAGATAATACAGCAACAATACAGTTCAATACAAGAGGGATAGGAGGGCCCTGCTCCTTGGAGCTTACAAGATATATATATATATATACTGTGTGCGTGTATAAAATATATATATATATATATAAATATGTGTGTGTGTGTGTGTGATTTTGCGCACCCGTGCCGCCCTATAGCAGTATTTCTGCTCTAGGGTGATGCGGAAGAGGTTAGAAATTAAACTACACAAATAAGAATCCAGCATTGTAAACCCAGAGTCAGTCACAAATATTTTAGCCACAATCACTCAAGTGCACAAACTGTCACTTAAGCCATAACAACGCCTTTCTTTTCTCAAGGATCAAACAGCTAGAAAGGATATTCACAAAGACGGGTTTTACTTAAAGGATAACTTCACCTTCTATAATATGTTACATGTGACACCCATATTCAGGGTGTCACATGTAACATATTACAATAGGACCAGCCCCCGCTCCCCCAGTATCCCCCATTGTAACAGTTAATGGGGAATCTTTTCCCCCGCTAGCTGTCACAATTTAAAAAAGTGACCATGCGTTGCTGCGCCTACCTGACCGTGTCATTCATTCACAGTATTCTGTGAATGGGAAAACTACGTTTGCAGCTATCGGCTTGTGGTTCTCAAGTTATTGGCCACGCATTGTTTTCCCATCTTCATTCAACTATTACTAAAAAAATAAGCATGTTTAAAATATAACCAGTTAATAAACCAGTTTTAAAATTTAGATCAATGATCTAGGAGGTATACAGAGATCATATCTAAGAGAAAGGCAAGATGTCCTTGTTGCTACATGTTGCATACATTCATGCCTTAAATACTACCGAGTGACAACTATATCAGTGAAGTAGAACTAGATCCAATTAGGTAGGCACTAGTGCACCAGTGGGGAGTGAAGGTCCCTCTAGGGGAAGGGAATCTACCCATAGGCTTGTAGTTTGGCCACAGAAGTCTTCTTTTTGACTAAGAAAATGCAAAAAAACACAGAAGACAAAGGAAACCCTTACACAGAATATACCCTGTTACATATAACTAATAGCTACTGCACTTGTTAATGAGTGATGTGGAAGAAAAGCTGCACCGATCACGTAGCTGATTCATGAATCACACTGTCTCTGTGCTATGCACCATTCATAGCCATTGCTAGTCAATAGAGCCTGTTTCTGACCATTGACAGATTTGTTTTCTTTTATTAGCAAGAGGCAACTCATTGTACAGACTTGATAGAAGGTTAATAATCTGTGAGTCTTGAGAAGTATGCAGGTAACGGAAGGCTTTAGATTTTTTGATACGTAATATGATGTTGAAATGTAAGTTGTATTATATTTAGTTGGTGGCCCACATATAGCAATTTTAAATAATATATTTAGTATTGTTGCCTCATAATAAATAAGAATCAAGTTTCTAGTTACTTTAATTCATATAATCACATTATTATTTTGGCTAGGGGCCACTATATTACTAATTACAGCTCTGCAAATGTTTAATAAATAATCAGTTCAATTGCCAGTGTAATGGGATCATTAAGAACTCATGACTACTACTCATACTTCCTCTGGGAAGCAACAGGTCCTTTGTCTAGACACAAAAAAAATTACTATTGGTCCCTAGAGCTTCAATATCATATGAATCATGTTAAACTGGTTGCAAATCCAACCTTCTTACTGGTCAATGATTTTCTGTTTGTTGGTTCCAATTATCTTCTGCCTGTGTTAAAAGTCCAGCTGAAGGTCACTTGCCCTGACCCCGTGTGTCCTTGTATGTTTCAGTACCTGTTTTGTGAATGCTGATTACCATTCTGGCTTTAAGCTGAGACGGTTTCCTGTCAGGTACTTTGCCCTGTTTAGGTACTTACATTTTTGCCTGCTAATTTATTACTTTGCATCGATGTCTGGGAGGTGCTGTACCTGAGGAAAACCTGAGGAATGCATCCTCAAAGTGTAACCCAAACCCTGGATAAGATCCAGAACTTTTATATCACTCTTTGGCTAATGAGATAAAGAGTCAACAATAATTTCTGCTTGTGGCACTTTGTATATTGGTATATTTGGTATATTGGTCATTTAATAAAAATGTATTAAAAAGAAAATGTAACAAAAAAAACAAACATAAAACCTAGTGCTCCAAAAGTCATGTGACCATATAATGGCCAACCTCTCAAAATACCAACACAATGCACCAAGCTCTTATGCAGGGCCTGAGGAGTTAGTGTGGAAATGGAGGGGATTTATGCAAAACCTACCATTCCACCATAGGGACAGCATGGAGAAAACCTTTTACATACCCTAACTATACCACTTACCACTTCTTGAGTAATCACAGAAAAAAACTCTTACACATCAGCACTAGGCTGGTGGTTTGTGAGAAATGTTCCATTATTTTTAAATGCCTCAACCTAAAACCCACTACCCCACTCACCCCAGCCTCCTAACCTAATCTATCCTAAAATCCCCTACCCAAATGCCTATCCACTGCTCCATAACAGCAGCAGTCTCCTCCATTGCTTACATTCTTGGAAGGATCCTTGCAAACTCTCTATGATGCTGCCCACATCTGCTCAGTAGCTCATAGCCATAGCCAGCACTAGAGACACTGGAGTTGCTTTTCAGCTGTGGCCAGCACCGGGATGTTGGGCTCCAGCATGTACTGTAAATATGGCCCCAGCCTGCTGCTGTCTTGGAGAGGTAAGTAAGCGTCTGGGGGGTGTTGGTGAAATGGCTGGGCTAGTGGGTTCTAGATTAAACATGAATGTGTCCTTTAAGTCCCTTCTAGATGTTAAATTACACATGAGCTAGTATCAGCATTACATTGGTCACATATGGATACCTGCCCTTGTGCTGGTAGCTTTTAGACAAGCCTCATACATTTTTTTTTTACGAATTGTGTTTAAAAACATAATGAAAAAAGTGAAAATACTGACACAAAAGATCTTAGTAGTCTTTAATAGTAGTTTTCAACACGGTTACTAATGGCATCCTCCATATTTCTTTCAGCTCCTTTAAAACTGGTGGATGGGCAGATTAAAACCAGGTGAATCATGGGAAAAGAGGAGTTTTTAAGAAGTATTTTCACCTCTATGACGCATTGTCTGAAATCAACAATTACTCACGCGCTTCACCCACTGTTAGGACTTAATTTCAGAAGGAGAAATGCAATAATGTGTGAAGATCCCTGGTGTAGAGGAATCTTGACTGCTTACATCAGTAAAGTGAATACCTAATGCTAAATATAGGGTGTGCAGCGCTATACAAATAAAACACACTGTCATAAATATAACAAAATATGACAAAAAGTAGAAAAGGTCCTATAAACTGAATGATAAACAGTCCGAGGTAATATGATATCAGTCCAAATAGGTATATTCCAGTGATGGAGTATATATGACTTCAATCCAAATGGGTATATTCCAGCATCCTAACATGAAGGTGTAGAAAAATTGCCCACTCACCGGAAGTGCAATTTAATGTGCACATAGAAATTCCATGTAGCCGGAGGTCCCGTGAAGGTACAGCCTGATGATAAAGGTATCCTCTGGTGGTTAATGGGGTGACGGCTGCCAGAGATGATGGTCTGGACCTATATCCCAAATCCTCCAGCCTGGGTGGACTCCTAAAATGCTGGGCTGAGATGTGGAGGCTCAGTGCCAGGTAATAGAGATGAAAACGCTCATGGTGTAGTATTGTGAAATGTATTTATTTGGGTATAAATCATTATGGTAAACAGTAAACGTACAGGGTGATAGTAACCTATACAAATATAGTGGCATCACCCCTACAGGAGACGTGTTATTACACGAAGCGCGTCTAGGAGGAGCCTCTGCATGCCTTGACGTCACGCCACCGGATCAGGAGGTCCGGTGGCCATCATTTTTATCCACTGGTCAGTGCATTCAAGAGCTCATTCACACTATATTTGTATAGGTTACTATCACCCTGTACGTTTACTGTTTACCATAATGATTTATACCCAAATAAATACATTTCACAATACTACACCATGAGCGTTTTCATCTCTATTACCTGGCACTGAGCCTCCACATCTCAGCCCAGCATTTTAGGAGTCCACCCAGGCTGGAGGATTTGGGATATAGGTCCAGACCATCATCTCTGGCAGCCGTCACCCCATTAACCCAGAAGATACCTTTATCACCAGGCTGTACCTTCACGGGACCTCCGGCTACATGGAATTTCTATGTGCACATTAAATTGCACTTCCAGTGAGTGGGCAATTTTTCTACACCTTCATGTTAGGATGCTGGAATATACCCATTTGGATTGAAGTCATATATACTCCATCACTGGAATATACCTATTTGGACTGATATCATATTACCTCGGACTGTTTATCATTCAGTTTTTAAAGGACCTTTTCTACTTTTTGTCATATTTTGTTATATTTATGACAGTGTGTTTTATTTGTATAGCGCTGCACACCCCATTTTTATGTTATATTCCTAGAAAGGCTTTGTGGTTCCTTTTTGTGCATCAGCAGCTTTATATGGTGCGCTCGCTAACTCACACATTAATGCTAAATATAGGTGTGTGCTCCTTTTGGTTTACAGATTGTGAGTGGAGATGAGTGCAGAAGCTGTGCCTCCACCTATGGTAAGGAACTTGTACTAGAGAGGGCTTTGAGCAGAATTACTTTGTTTCTACTTGCAAGTGAATCCTTTTACCACCTTTTTTCTTTATCCATATGTCTTCCAGTTCCATTATATCACCATTAATGCAAAGAGCCTTGTGAAGGTTGAATAATTATTTTAGCTCCTGATGAGAGTGGTAGTCAAAAGCAGCCTGTTTACAACAACTATGGATACAAACATAGGGCCAAGCCATGCTGTAGAAAAGAGGAATTTATCTTCAAAACACATAACCTATTATACTGACATTTTTCATAGGC